TAATTTACAAAAACTAAAATACTATATAAATAAATTATAATAATAAAATAATAAACAAAATAAAGTAAAAAAAAATTTTTATTCTGATATTTCATCCCTTGAATAGTTATCACATATCCTATATGAGATCAGTACTCTAAAAAAAATAGCTCCTTTTACTGGTTTTGAACCCGGGTTATTCTGCTTACAGAGTGATATCCTAATCAGTAGTTTACATCAGAATGATACCAAATTTTAAAAATTAACTCCTTAAAAAGATAACTTGTGTAGCTTTAATTATCCAATTGTAAAATTTTTCTTTATATGATTTAAATTTTAAATTAAATGTTTGATTATCTTTGTAATATAATTTTTAATCCAACCAAAAATTTAAAAAAAATAATAATAATAAAACACTATTAAAAAAGGTCTCAAAGTTAGAAAAGAAATAATAATCATTACTCAAATTGACAAAAGTAAGAAATAAAATAAATAATAATAATAATAATAATAATAATAATACAAATTTTCAATCATAGTAAAAATTCAGATAAGAGAAAGGAAAAAGAAGTAGTGGAGAACTAGTAAAAATAATAACTTTTTAACCAATTAATATAATCTAATAAAAGTAAAAAAATAAAACAATAATTTATAATACAGGAAAGAAATGTATATTTGAGATTTAGAGACAGAAAACGAAAAATTACAAAAGAAGATAAAAGAGAAGAAAGAAGCAGAAAAATTTAGAAAGCAGGTATTAAGAGATTGTATAAAAGATGAAAAGAAGAAATACAATGTGTTGTATCAGGCAAAAAAAAAATTTAAAGTTGGCTATACAATATTAAGGGAAAATATGAGAAAGTTGTATGAAATCTTGAATACAAGAGAGGAAATTGGTATAGACAAAGAATAAGGTGAACATATAATATTGAGAAATCAGGCAAAGAAAAAAAAAAGAAAGAAGAAGAAGAATCTAAAGAAGAAGATAATAATAATAATAAAGAGAAATTACAAGATTATTATTATGAAGTTTTGTTAAACAAAGAGTTAAGAAGATATAAAACTATATTGGAAGAAGTGTCAGAGAGTAAAGAGGAAAGTAGTAGTTTTCCAATAATATTAGAAGATGAGATAGAAGAAGGTAGAAGTTTGCAAAAATGGGAAGAGAATATGGATGAGGACTATATACAAGAAGATTAGATTTTATTTCTTTATATTTTTTTGTCTTGCTGGTTTATATATATTAATAAATTTTCATTTTTTTTCATTAACTTCTAGATCTTCTTGCTATTTGTATCTAATAAAAATCTTATTAATATTTACTACTATATTAACGGCATATATTTTGTAGAAAACCCAGGTCTTATATATGACAAGTTATAGTACTCAGGCTCAGTACAAAATCTGAGATTATATAACAGTTTATGGGTATTATAATTTTATTTATTGAAAGTTTTGAATAGCTCAAGATATAGCAACTAATTAGTATATATTAATTTTTGATTTAAATATAGTAGCAATAAAACGTCTGAATCACAACTAATATAATATTACTAGCTTGATTCGAATATATAATTCTTGAAAAATAGACAAGTATAATAGCAGCATTAAAGCTTTAATTATTAGCTAAATTTTCTTTGAATTTTTAATAATGCCACACAAAATTATATACTTGGTTTTTATATCACGGAATCGTGATCAGTGACCCAGCCGCATGGCTTTTTTTTTTATAGTAAAAAAAAATTTTTTTTTAAATAATGTTAAGAAAAGCTTATTAAAGCTTATAAACTTTTTACAATGGATTTTACCTAAAGCCATCATATAAAATACACTTTATTTAAATTAAAATAACTATCAAATTTATATATTTGTTAAATTTTTTTTAATAGAAATATTCTTTATTAATTTAGCTACAATTTTATCAAAAAATATTTAACATTTAGTATATCAAACCTTTTATAATATCAATTTAAAGCTTGATTATTTTTATATTTATCTTAAAAATTTGGCACCTATAATTTAACTAATAAATCTAAAAATAGTATCACTTTTCGGAATCTTATGGATATTAACTATCATTTTTGCTTCACCTTGCTTATAATTTATATTAATTCATCAATTATACTGGAAATTTACAAAATATTCTATTTTTTATTCTAACTAACCTTTTTTTTTATTAACTATTGCAATAACTAATTAGCAACAAAAATAACTTTTCAAATTGAGCGTTACATCTAATCTTGAAATCTGATAATTAGAATAATAACATTAAGACAGTTTAAAAATAAGAACACAATATGTAATCTAACCCCCATAATCCCCAAATTGATTTGTTCTATACCCACTAACCAAAAAAGTAAGGTAATTAAGTTTATTAAGTTCATTGTTATATATAAACTTAAACATAAAGAAAATAATAATTCCAAAATGTGTGAAATTATATCAAGGGCTATACAAAAAAAAAAAAGTGAAATTAGAAGTAAATTTCCACAGCCTTTACTTTCATATAAAAGGAGAATAGTTAATATAGTAAAATCAAGTCAAAAAAAAAAAAAATACTCCTTAAAGTTCTAAGCCCCAATTAATAAGATTCTTCTATTCATTCTTGGAATCTATAAGGTAAAGTAGATAGGGTAGAATTTAATAAACCATTTTGCAAATATTATAAAAGAAGCACATAAATCGAGTTAATAAAACTTTACAATTTGGGTTGTTAATAATCTAAAGAGTTTTTTACGTACTATCTTATTAAGATATATAATTAAATAAAAAAAAACCCTGTATTGTAAGATTTGTTTTGATAAATTCATATCAACTATATTTCAAAGTTGCTATAGTAATCCTTCTTATTCTGTCTATACCCAGTTTTGTAATATGGGTCATATTAAAAAAACTTTACTAATGCACCGTGCAAATGCCAAAAAGTGAAAGAGCAAAGAAAACTTAAAAGTAAAGATAAAGATGACTTACCAATTGTTGATGATGTATATGATTTGGAGGATGAAGAAGTAGCAGAAACAGTATTTAGAAAGCTTATTTAAAATGCTTAGAAAATGGATTTTAATAAAAATTCACAAAGATATACTGGAAATTCTAATCATATAAAACAATGAAGATTACAACAAAACCGTATAAACGCAGTAGGGAGTTATAAAATAACCCAGTTTTTTGAACAAGTGAATAACTTAAATTCGAATAATGATTCCATGGAAGACTAGCAATCAGATTCAGAGAATGATTATGATTTTGAGCTTGAAGAAAAATCATTAAAGTAGAAACAAAAACTTCAAGAAACTGAGAAAAGGATACAAAGTTTAATAAACGCCACGGAAATGTCGAAGGCAGATAAGATGAAATATGTTTCTGTAATCTATTATATTCGACTTCTTCAATATGAATCATCTAAAATAGAAGCAAGTCAAGTTGTGGCAACTATTCATAATGGTGGTGAGTATCATACTAGATGTATACGAGTGTAGAGAAAAAGGTGTCTGGAAGGTAATCTCTTATCTCCATCTCAATATGGAAAGCACCCATCACAATTACTTCTTTATGATGAAGATGTCTCATTAAAAATAGCAAATTACTTAAAAGCAACAAAATTTAAAGTAAATTCAAGACTTGTTAAACAATACTTTGAAAATAATATTTTACCTGAACTTTATATTAATTAAGTGCAACTATTTATTGACTATGGCATAGCATTAGATAAAAAAAATAAGATATTGTTATAAGAGGTACCAAAAAGGTGTATATATAAATGGCTATGAAAGAGAAGATATAGTTACATATCATAAAATATTTTTACAAAATATAGCGAAATATAAAAGATTAATGTCTAAGTAGACCGATATTAATTGTAAAGTTTGTAAAGAGCCTTATCTCTTACCCAGTGAATGAAAACATATCCTGGTTACCCATGATGAATATGTATTCTATTCTTATAATGGTACCTGTGAATTCTGGACCTCTGAAGGTAAACAGCTGTTAAGAAAAAAAGGACTCAAAAAAGAGCTTCATGTTAGTGAATTCCTAGTAGAAACAATTGAAAAATTAAAAAATGAGAAAGAAGAAGCAAGAGTAACAATACAATTGGGTGTAAATAATGAAGGATATTGAAATGGTAAAAAACTATTCTCCCAAGTAAAAAATGTCATAAAAATATTTGAGAGAACTCATCCAGGATATGTTGGGGTTTGGGTATTTAATAATGCTACTAATTACACACTTATAGTACCTAATGCATTAGTAGCTGCTAAAATGAACTTAAAACCTGGTGGATTGCAGCCGAAAATAAGAAATACTGTATGGAGTAGAGAAATCTAAAAAATGATATTTTCAGAGGATTATGAAAATGACCCTCTTTTATGACTAAAACTGAAAGGAATGAGACAAATTCTTAGAGAGAAAAGTCTTTGGAAAGATGAATATTAGCAGGCTATAAAGTATGTAAAAAAGACAAACCAAATCCTGATATTGTAAATTGTTATACATGGCACCTTATTGCAAACCAGCCAGATTTTTTAAATGAACATGAATTAATTCAACAAGAGATTGAAAAATGTGGTCATAAGGTAAGTAAATTACCAAATATAGTAAAACCTCTATAAGTGTATACTCTTGAAAACTTAATATATACGTACATATATACATATTAAAAAAAGTGTATTTATAGAGATTGTATATATTTTTTGACCAAAATTTGAGTGTGTGTATGCATTTATTAAGATTTTACTATATATGACTTTACAATTAAATAATACCAGTAATCCTTGTCTTAGGTAATTTTTTACTCTAAATTTTATCCAGAACTCGATTATATTGAAACATATTGGGGTGTGGCAAAACGACATGCCCAAGAAAACTGCGATTATATATAGAAGAGTTTACAAGAAAATGTTTCAATTGCACTTAACTCTGTTCCAGTTAAAAGGATCAGAAAATATGCAAGACTTTCTTACCGATGGATTAATGCCTATCGAAAAGGATTAACAGGCCAAGGAGCTGAATATGCTATTAAAAAACAAAAAAGTCATCATTCAATTCATTAGCAAAAAAAATAGACCGATATATATCGATTACTAGCCGGGTAATTATATATCGATACCAATCACCCCTGC